TTGGTTGTAAAACCAATCATATCTTCTAAAATGAATTCTCGCTGTCAAATTGACTTGATCGACATGCAAGCACAATCAGATGTCGATTATAAATTCATATTAGTTTATCATTATCATCTAACAAAATATATTATGCAGATTATTTGTATAAATACTTCACAATTTACATTGCCCAATATACCTCGGACATTGTATACAATGCCCGGACATTGTATACATTGCCCGAATTATCCACTTTGCCCGTAACATGTATATTGTATATCTTCTACAGCTTTACGTTTACATCCAACATTTACAATTATTTGACGATGAATATTTGTTAGATCGTAAGACACGTGATTAATGATTATGTTCTCTAGTTGTTGATAGAAAAAAATTATTCTTGTCCGAGGATATTAGAGCACTACAAGTTCTCGTAACATATCTCCAACGAGTAGAGCCGTATTTTTTACTTGTCTATCCAAAGTTATATTTAAAATTATTATACACTGCCATACGACATTCTCGTTTACTTTTTATGATTTTAAATTCCGTGATTTTACTTAAATTTACAAAAATAGTAAAATCTTCAACAATGTTTAGTACAAAATGACTGTCGAAAAACGTACTTTTCCAACACTTTCGACTCGAAAGTAAAACAAAACTGCACTGAAGCAGTTGTCTAGTTTTCAAATGTTATGACGGATAGTATACACTTATTTGAATTATTATCTTATTTTTATAAAATAATAAGGGGAACACACTGAGATAGATATATCTAGACGGCGGACCATTGTAGAAATTATATACTTAAGTTTCCAAATATTATAAAGATAAGATTAAGATATTGTAGATATATGATGTAGATTAGTGTTACCCAAAGTCTGTATTATAAAAATGTGGTCGAAAAGTGCTATATAATATTATTGGACAAAAAGGGAAAGTAGATTTAAAATATTTGTGCAAAAAGAGTACCAGCCTAAAAAAAGTACAAATTCGTTCGTTTCTATAGATTTTAATCCTTCAATGACTTCATCAGTTTTTCAATGTTAGACAATTTTAATTATATTGATTGTATTTGAATTGCAATATTGCACCTTTGTATAATGTAGTTATTGGAAATTTGAATTGTGTTTTAAATTTTTATTAAACAACAACATAATGAGAAATAAGAACGTATAATAAAAAATAGGACAAATGTGTTAGTTGATATTTATTCGTTTGTAAAAACTTATACTTAGCGATACCATATGTGTGTACGGTGTAGTGGAAGGCGGGGCAGAACCGTACTACTAACTTCTAGGCGCTGTAGAACTTACAAAATTTGAAAAATTTGAAACTGGATTGCGTAAATATATCACAAATACTGTTAGCTTCAATAATATTGAAGCATTTTCAAAAAATTTTAAATTGAACTCAAACAAAAATCCAAATTTTGAAATTACTAAAAAATACGATTTTGCCCCATAGGAGGGGTAAAACCGTATTAGTCTTGGGGAAAAACCGTGTGTATGGTTTTATGATCTAAAATAGTAGAAATATTGTAGGCACACTTTGCAATACATTTTAATATCCCCCCCCCTCCCCAATAAAAAATCCTGAGTAAAGTGTTTTGAAATTTTATATTGGAACGAAATAAAAATAATAACTCATTTAACAACTGTTACTTTCACTTTATTATGAACAAAATTTAATTCTTTACGATCTGTAACCTTATAGGACAAATTAAATTTTTAAATAACATTTTAACCAAACATGTTTAAATATTCATGTAAGTAACAAAATAATGAAAATAAAATAAACATTGATCTTAATATTCTAAAAAAACTTAATACTTATGTATAAAATAAGATAAATAGGTAGGTCCCTACCTACCAATATTTAAAACAAAACAAAATAATTATTACAAGGAACATTTTAATTTCTTCATGAGATGATATAGGTTCGTAGTTCTCGAACACATAATCGTTTAACAATAAATTTTTAAATATAAGTTTATAATAATAATTATATAAAAGGAACATATTAATTTCTTTATGAGATAAAAAAAGGTTCTTTTTGAACACATTTAATAGTTTAACAATAGGTTCATTAACTGTTCTGCATTTAGAACAAAATTAAATTGAGAATATAATATAATAGACTGTTGGTAACTTATTTTTTACAGTTATCACAGATATAGTTTTTCCAGTTTTCAACATTACCACATAACTCATGCAACCAATTTTCACAAGTTGTGCATTTGATCCATTTTTCTCCATTTGTGTTTGTTGTGTATAACTCACTACAATATAAGCACTGCACATCAACATCACCTTTGGAACATGTGGCACGTTTTTTCAAAGTTTTTTTTATTATGGCAAACAGTTTTATTTTCAAAAACACTTCTTTTGACTGGTTTAAGACTTTATGAATTTTCTAGCTCATTTTTATAAGGGCTGTTATTATTGCAGTTTTTCCTCTTCTACTGTTACTTGACCTAGAACTTCTAGCAGGAATTTTTGGAGATATATTAAAAGTATTGGTATTTATAATGGTAATATTATCTTGTGACACATCAATATTTACAGAATCATTCAATGGAATATTATATGATATGCAGCTACAACAGGTCTTGTTGGTTCTTGAATTTGATTTGTTGTTTCGGCGGCTGCAAAATCTGCTTCAGTAAATACTTCTGGGTCATACAGAAAAATACCAGTCTTTTTAAAACCAAAACATGCATTTCTAATATTAGCTGCTTTCTTGTATGCTTCTCCAAATATTTTTGATATTTGGCGAAGTACAACGACACGTCCAGGATGGTTTACTAACCAATAATCTAATTGTTGACTGTAAAAAGTACTTAATGGCCCCATAAATGATAAATCAAGTGGCTGCAAACGGTGAGTTGTATGTGGGGGAAAACAAAGTATAATTACATTGTTCTTACGTGTCAAATCAATTATATCTAAATTCTTAACATGGGTCGCATGTCCGTCTAATAGTGGAAGCACTGGATTTGATTCTGTAGGATTAGTTTGTTTAATAAAATGTTCTAGCCATTGAACAAAAATATGTGACTGCATCCAACCAGATGGATGGCACACAACCAATGTAGCAGGTGGCGCACCATCAATAAAATCAGGGTTTATTCTCACTCTTAGAAATATCATAAGAGGAGGAATAAAATTACCGGAAGCTGACATACAAATAGTAACTGTGACATTTTGACCTCGTTCTGCTGATGATAACTTTCCAACTTGTTTTCTACCTTTATGAGCAATGATTTTTGCACGACTTTTTGCAACATTTGATAGGCCACTTTCATCAACATTAAAAATTGTATCAGCAGAAAATTTATATTTATCATAGCATTGTTTTAATAGATCATAGAAATGCATAACAACTGGCTGGTTGAATCCCATTGCTCTAGCAGCTGAAGTAGGCTCTGGAGCACGCACTGACAGCTCAGAATGCCTATTTAAAAAACCTTTTAGCCAATCTTTCCCTGAAATTAAAATTATACAAATATATTAACACTAAATAATTTAATTGTTTACACATTTGATACAATATATCTATAAAATTGTGTTATCTTACCAGCCATGCCAGTGTTCTTATTAAATGTATGTTGTATACCATTTCTATCTGCAAGCTCAAAAGCAAGTTTCCTAACACTTTGTTGAGTTAATCCAAAAAGGCGACTTTCCATGTCTTTAATATATTCAGCAAGTACATTTTCTTGTTCCAAATTAAAAAATTTCTTATAGCAACCTAGTTCTTAAAAATAAATAAATAAATCAGTAAGTATATTATTATTACAAAGTATAATAATGAGTGTACCTCCACATATGAAAACAAAAATAAAAATATATGAATAGTTCTTGATATTAAACTGTTTTTGTTCTTTATTCTATAATTTTTTAAATAATAATTATTGTATGAAAAATGATATAACGCTAAACAATTAGTAAATATCTAAGATTTAATAAATATTATATTAGTTGGAGGTAGGTATAACTCAGTCCAAGGCATTCGGGTATTAATTTTAAATAATGACTAAAAACATTTTTTTTAATGAATAAACGAAAAAAATATTGAAATCATAATATGTTGTTGGTTATTTTTTAAATGTAAATTCTCAATTACAGATAATGTAACTTATTAGAAAAATAGAAAACCTGTACCAACCTTTTGAAGCACTGCTGCTGTCAAATTTGATTTTTCCATCTTTAATTTTTTTAACTTTATCTTGTAATGTATAATGAGGCATCATTGTAGTTGGTTGATGCTTTGTTAAAACTATTTTTATCATCAATTACCGATTTAATTGCTAATAACATTGAACTCTCATCCCAAGATTGTCGATTTTTTTTGCGCACATAATTATGAACCATCTTCAATAAAACTAAAAATTATCAAGTAGGTAAATTATAACACGTAATAATATATAAAATGCTGGAGCAATCCGGTATTGCATACGCTTTTGCCCCACAGTAGATGGATTCAAAATAACAGCAATTAACTAAAAAGTATATGCAACATACCTCCATATTATATCATTAAATAATCTGTACTTACTTTTGCGTAATTTGATGCATTTATTTTCACATCAAAGTATCAAACTAATATAAGTATAAAAGTTTTTAATAACAATATATGAAAAAAAAATAGTGATTGTACATATTTTCTGATAACAAGAATTTGAGCGGGAATTTATTAAAAAAGAGGTTAATAGTTATCGATACGACCAAAATTGAAGTTTTTAAGTTTTCCGGATATATTACGATTTCGAAAAAACCAAATCATTAAAAAAGGTACTATCTTTTTGAAACCTTCGAGGATCGAAGCAGTATCGTCCCTAGATCAGTTCCCAGTTTTTAAAAGTTTTTAAACTCAAATATTAATGGGGTAAATGTTGAGTTCAAAATTTGATTTTTTTCAAAAATTAAATTGGCGGGCTTTTTTGTTTTGCAGATTTATGGTACTTAAAATCGAGACGCGACTTTTTCGAGAACATAAATTTGTTCTAGAGGTTTCACTGCTTCGATCCTCGTAGGTTTCAAGACGATACGACCAAAATTGAAGTTTTTAAGTTTTCCGGTTATATTACGATTTCGAAAAAACCAAATCATTCAATATAGGTACTATCTTTTTGAAACCTTGAATTGACCTATTATTATATAGGTTTTAATATTTTATTGTTATATATCTATCGATTTACGTGAATAAATAATGAGCTACACGCCTACTTAATGCGAAAAAAAAGTTCAAAATAATTATTATTCAAAAGGTTAGACAGATGTATAAAGGTACTTTAAGAAAACGTCTCGTTATACGAAAAATCACATAATTTGTTTTTCAACTTTTTGCTACTCCGATTACGGGCGAAATAATGGTTGTACGTACTTCGACCAAAGACTTTTTTTGAATTCTCGTACGCCAAAAGACTAGAATCTTGAGTTTAGTAATGATCAAACGAAATCCCAAAATCCAAAATACAAAGTATATTAAGTACAGAAAACAAACAAAAAACATTAACTCTCGAACTATAAGTGGGACAACCGCGATCTCGGTACCCATCGATACGGTGGAAAGTATTTTATTACGTTCGTCTACAAACACGGCTCGCCGCGCCCAAAATCTAAGTGACCGTACCGAAAACCCCGAAAAACTCAAATTTTAAACTTTCGAAGCCCCAAAAGACGGAGAAAAACGGCTCCTATGGTCTCGACACAAAACGCTGAATTTGATCAGCGACCTCGGTACTACCATATAGACAGTCCGTCTTCCCTCTGAACCGTTATTCCTGCACAATGGTTTTATATCATTGCGTCCAAATTTAACATCACCCGCTTGTAACCTACTGTAATACTAATTTAATTAATCATTTGTAACTACTACACTCATACTAATGCATTTTTAGATAATATAATGTAAGCCAGTATCATTTTTACCGTCTTTTTGCTGATATTTTAAAACTATAATAAATATAAAAAATAAATTAAAAATAAGACGGTTTATCGTCTATTAAATATTAAAGGGTTGTCCAGGAAATGTATTCAAAAGTTATTAGATATAAATATTTTTCATTTATATGTATGGAAGGTGACTCACATAACACTTAACATAAAAACTATGTACTGCTATATAGTCAATATCTCCCCCCTGACCTTGAATTGCTGTAGTTTTGGCAATCAAGGTTGGGTGTTTTTTGATGGTCTAAGAACCCGTCACAGTAAACACAAGCTCAGAACACAGACATGGGGCTTTGCATAATTAAAAACAGGACTCAATAATGTAAAATATAAAATCAGCTTTACGTTTAGGCTCTTTGAATATATAGACTTTATATGAACCAGGAACGAGGAACTGTATAGTATTTTAGATGAGATGGAAAAGTGTGAGATGGGTGTAAACCCATAAATTACATAGATTTACTTTATCTTTCATTGTCAGCTTCCATCCCAAATGGTAGACTATGGTTTAAAAGTTGCATTAGGTACTCCACATTTTACACAAAATACTGTCTAATCGTACATTATTAGAAGTTTGTATTAGTATTTTCTATTCATGGTATACATTTTTCAATATATTAATTGTTTTTGGTTTTTTATAGGTATTATTTTGTTTTGGTTTTTGGTTTTTTTTTTTATACATATTAATAAAAATTAAATACGAGGTTTCTCATAATTCTATATAATAGCTATTCATAAATATTTCAGATACATGAGCATAATTTTTTATAAGAATTTTAAATAAAATGTTGACAAAATCAAGAAAATGTGTAATTATTATTTAATTAATACTAATATATTATAAAGATGTAAAATTGTTTGCTTGGCATAATCCCTGCAAGGCTGTAACTATTTGGCTGATTTTAAATTTGTTAACCATCAGAAAGCCACACTACCATTTGAGAATTGTTTGTACAAAAATTAGGAAAGAAAATGTACTCAAATTTCGTGATGTGATGAAAACAAATTTAGCAATTGGTTATTAGGTACCGATTTTAAAAATTGTTTCACCTATTCCACCAAGTTAAAATGAGAAAAAAAAATTATTACGATTGAATATAATTTTAGAAATGTATTTTATATGACCGAGGCCAAAATATTTAATGGAGATCAAGATGATGTAAATCCATGGGAATTCATAGAAATCCTGGGAAATTTTGATGAAAACTAAGCCGAGTATTAAATGACAAATCGAACACAAATAATGAATCATATATAGATCGTCCTTTTTGTGTCCAACGAAGTTTATTGGATCAGCTAGTAATTTATAAGTAGGCAAATTTTTACCGCTATTCAAAAATGTTGAAATAAAAGTTACAACTGTTTTTATAATTGTTTTTTAATCACTGTCTTCCCTCTGAACCGTTATTCCTGCACAATGGTTTTATATCATTGCGTTCAAATTTAACATCACCCGCTTGTAACCTACTGTACAGCAGAACGACATCCACTTACCCACATTTTTATATTGTTATTCGTAGAATTAAAATATTTTCGTTGCTTCAATACCTATCCTAGTATTCTAATACATAAAAAAGCTGGTAATTAGATGTCGCTCTGTTATACAGTAGGTACTAGGTGAGTCAGTGTATAATGGATTGTATTAAACTTGAATTCAATGACATAATATCATTGTATAAGAAAAACGATTCTGAGCGGAGACGGTTTGTCAGTCTGGATATTTTATATTGTAATTATTTATTATTTCATGTAAGTTGAATTAATATTATAATATTATAATTAAATAATGCTTTATTCGTTTATATGGTCATAAACTAAGCGTTAGAAATTAAAATCCCATTTTTAGTGATTTTTCATAATTTTTTGGTGGTTTTTCACGTGGCATTATAAAACTATTGGTAAAATCGAAAAATGATCTCTTTGAAGTGCCATTTTGATCCAATTTTCTAAAAGATAAGGTAGGTGCTATATATTGAAATCGAAGCACTACTTCTGATAGAAATTGTGGATACAAGATATAAGGAAAAAAAAAATAAAATAAACACCATTGTAAAACCACTAGAATTAAATATAGTACCTTAACCAATAGTAAGTAATAACCTATACTCCTATACATATATACCCAGTGCCGGCCCAAGGTATTTTGACGCTTCGGGCAATTTTTTGAAAGGCACCCTGAATCAAATGCTCTATAGTACATTTAATACTTTTTATACTCACCTACATATTTTGTTTTAAATTCTTATATAAATGGAGAGGTAAAGAATTGCAAAACTTATTTGGATACAATTTATTTTAATGTTTATAATTAATATGTATTCAGATTATTTCTTTAATCGTATACAATATAATATAATAGATATTATTAATAATAATTTTTTTTAAATAAACATTTTTTTCTAGATTTTAAATCAGCAAAATGTTGTATTGCTTCGTTTAGATCTAATTTAGAAACTATATCATTTTCTATACTGGTTAATGCTAAATTGTTGAGACGTTCTTCTGTCATTGTTGATCTCAAGTACGTTTTTACTAACTTCAATTTGCTGAAACTTCTCTCGCAGCTTGCAGTAGTTACAGGAATTGTCATCATAATTCTTAAAGCTACCCATATGTTTGGTAAGGTATCTTGTAATTTGTTATCATTAATAAATGTTAAGATTTCCAATGGACAGCTATCTTTTTTAGAGTATAATGATCTTACAATCTCAATTTAGCCACTACATTTAGTACATAGCGACTATCTTATATCTCAGACGTATCGGCTGTAACATATAGGTACTTTTTTGGTTTTCCCGACTTAATCATTATATATTATTGTACCTATATTATTTTTTAATTATTTGTAATATAATAATAAAAACTGGAAAGTGAAGTAAAATCTATAAAAAAAATTATGTAACAGAATATTGTGTCGTGGATAATTTATTCATTTAGCTATAATATTGTCAATATACTCAATTTGAATAAATATTACGATAATATTTATAAAATATTCGTATATCAAAAGCTCCGCTAAAAAAGTAGCGCCCCGGGCAACTGCCCGGTTCGCCCGTATCTTGGGCCGGCACTGTAATATACCATATACATTTACAAAATAGTATTAAATTGTCGTGATCTAAAACGAAATTCGTGTTCCAGCCACGCTATAATAATTAGCAACATCTCTAGGTTAATAAAAATGATCTAAACACACCCAAATTTGAATAAGTAGTTCCAGAGTTTAGCAAGTAGGTAAGAATGTATACCTACTAACAAACTCAAAATTATCTTTATGTATAAAACAACAGCGTGATATTCATATTTATAAAATATATTTAATAAATATCACTGTAGATTTGTTTTTAAATATAATATCAAATGAAAATTTAGTACTATTTAATACTATAATTGTAATTGTTACCTATTTATTTGTTTTAATTTGATTTCATAGCATTTTCAAATGCATTGAAAAAATCACCTAGGTACGTACCTACATATTTACTACAAACTATAGGGTTTAAAAAATAAAATATTACACAAATAATAGATTTCCAGTAATATTATTTTTTTATTTATTTTTTTTACATTGATGTATAATAAATAATATAATAATAATTATATTATTTTATATTCATTGGTAACTTAAAAGGAGCCGCAAAGAAAGTAGAAACTATAGCATAAGTCATAATTTAAGAATAGATAATATTATATTGGTACGTAATATCTCGTATGTCCGTATGGTTACAAGATAAATGTAGGGGAGACCAGGGCAAAACGCATAGATTAATTTATGTGTCAAAAAATGGTGTCCAAACTATTATTTTAAGAACTATTTATTAATATAATCATAAATTGACTTCTCAAATTTATTATTTATTCCTTCGAAAAATTTACTAAGCACTCAATTAATGATAAAATGAAAAATTTTTAAAAGTGGAATTTTATTCATTTTGCTAGGGCATAAATATGAATGGGTACTATATTTCACATCAAGTGTACACCAGACCGTTTATTTAAAAAAAGTGTTACATCAGTGTACACTTTTTTCACACTGACCCAAGAGCAGGTGTAGGTGATCGTTATCATTTCTTATCAACGAATAGTTGATTCTGTAATAAATTCAGCTGATTAATCTACACCAAATACGTTTGCATGCCGTGTGTCTTGTGTGTCGTCCAAGTCCAATTACCAATTTTGGGAATACACCATTTTAAAATCAATCATTTTAAACTTTATCGTATTTGTAATAACTGAAATTAGTGTTCCAGGTATTCCGTGAAGGAATTTTGTACAGTTGTATTACAATAGGTATACTATACTTATAAATTATAATATTCAAAGGTTACTAATTTAAATTTATAAACTAGCTAAATTTGAATGCTCGGATAAGCATATTTACAGTGGTAAATCGTAAATTACGTACCTACATATTATAAAAAAAACAATATCACCAAGTATTATTGAAATCCATAAAGGTACAAATGTACAATAATATAACTAATATAATATCTAAATTTAATATTCTTTATTTAAGTTTAGTAGTAATTATTAAGTATAGGTGTAAGTTATTTATATAAATAAATAACTTGCATTCATTTTTTATTGTGTAGCCTACGGCCTATCTACTGAAAATTCATAAATAAATAAAATTCAAGAGCGATGTAATTAATTATTAAGTTCTAGATAATATATTATGGTATAATATTTTCTTACTATAGACCTATTATAAATGTTAGTTCCTAGAGTATATGGAAAAAATGCTATAACCAACATGCAAGTTCTTACACTGTAAAATAAATTTCGTATGTTATTTCCTACTAATACACAGTGAAAAAATGATTCCTAACCTAACCTGAAAAAAAAAATTAGTTATAAAAAAAAAAAATTTATAATAATGACAATAATAATATTTGATGATTTAATATAATATGTATATTTAATATTATATTAACAAAATGGACAATGGTATCGGTATGTATAGAACAATCATTTTTAACTTTATTCTTTAACCTATTCTATTTCTAAACCATATAATACGATTTTGTATATGACCAATTTTCACAAGATTTTTTTATTTTTATTATGTTTGTTTTAAGCGACGAAATTAAAAATCGAAGTCCAATGAGCACTGTAAAAAATTATCAAAAAAAATTAATCAAATCAGACCACTCTACGATGCCTGAGAGTTTTTCTCGTAAAGTATGTTTTGAACCAAAAATTATGCATTTTATTTTTGGTCTGCGGTACTGTTGACAATACGTGTGCAGTGTGCACTGTGCACATGCAGTGCGTGTGATGTAGATAGCCCGGTACAGCATACAATCACTCACATTAATCATTATTGACAATTATTAACAACAAATATGCCATAGGCGCACAGTGGTCTGAAAAGTAAATTTAGCTTACATAAAATTAAATCGTAGTTTTTATTCGTCATAAATT